TTTTATATCTGATCTATTTTTCCTGCTGTATTCTAGTAAGCAATCATATTTAGTACATTTGATAGTTGATGTTTTCATCAGAAATTTGAGAACTTGCTGCCAGGAGATGTGCTGCCAAGAGCCTACTGATAGCGATAGTCTTAATTTTATCAAGACATGACACAAATGATGCTATGTTCAATGTGAACTTTGAACTTCTCTTTGAACAGTATTCAATAAGTATCCTTTATTGCCATTTGTTAGCTATCCCAACGGTTTTTCCTGGTGGAAAGTTATTTGTTAGATATTTTAATAAGTGAGTTCTCTTGTAGGAATACTCCCACTTCCTTTTAATCTCCTAAGAGATTTTTATAAGGTAAATACATACTTTCTTAGACTGCCTTACTTTAACTCCCCTGAAGCTGGGTCTTCTAGGGTTTTCAGTCAGGTAGAAAAGCATTTCAGTTCCAGCCCGTCTACGTTGTTTCCTGTTGGGAAAACAATTTCTGGTTTCTTTTACCTCCGCCTTTTGTGTCTACAAAATGAAAAAGTCTTGATTTCATAGCCTTGTAACATTTGTCATATCCGTACAATTCTGTTTCCAGTTCAGTTGTTCGTTTCCTTAATAGTAGAAGGGACAGAGATGCCAGCATTGATTTTAATATCTCTTTTTGGCTCAGCTGAGTTGGCCTTGGTAAACTGGGGAAGCATATTATTTGTGGCAGCTCCGTTCTACAGTAGCACACAGTCCCTTTGTTATGTCTGCTGATGTTAATCTGGCCTAAAATTCATTTTTCTCTATGTAGAAATCAAGGTTTTATTTATAAAGGCTTCTTATACCTCTGTTTTAAGTATTTCCATCTCTAGTACTACTCATTGATGCTTACCAAGCTTTTCCAACTTTCATTTAAATCCTTAAAAATTAAACTGGGACTTTCATTTAGAGAGAGTTTAAACAAAAACAAAAGGGAATCATAAAGTTATAAAATAAGCTTTAAAATAATCATGAAAACCTCATGGAGATCTTTGCCCCATTTACTGGTTCACTCCAAGAATTATTTTTATGCTTTCTGGAGACATTGGAAGGAAACATTTCTCCATAATAACAGGCTTTAAAAATCTTTCCATTTACCATTAATCTTAATTTGTTTTAAGCGATAATTCCCTGGCAAAGAGATTTAGAATTGAGGAGCATAATGTAATAATTGTTTTATAGGTAATTATAGAAGTTTCATTCTCTTACAGTTTTAAAATCTTCTTCTAAGGTGCTAATTCTTGATAGTCCTGAATCTGGACACTTCAACATGCTGTCTCCCGATAGCTTCTTCATAATGGCTCTAATTTTTAAACGTTTATTTCGACTGTGTGGTACTTTTGTCTTTAGAACCAGGAGTGCAGAGGATTTTAAAGAGATTCTTCAAGAAAATGGCTGTATGAAGCTTTTTCACTTATAAAAGAACATAATTCTGATGTGGTGCATTTAGCATTACAAATATCTAACCTAAATTGGGTGGTAGTATCAGTAGAGGCAGTTCATTATAACTGAATGTTGAGGTGCGGGTTTGCTTTTTTGTTTTGGTCTATTTTAGAAGAAATATTTGCCCATTTTGCTCACATCCTACTTCAGCGCATATGTCCCAGAGCTGAAATTCGCTTAATTTATTAGCTATTTAGTTGGAATTCACAGCATAGTGGAAAATGTTTGCAGATAATTCTATGCAACAGTAGAAACTTCAGTTGCTTCCTCGTATTTCTTCAGGGCAGTGATCACAACCAGATTCAACGTATGCACAAAGCAGCGGATACCATGGTAGCGGCCGTCGCTGATTGCTTTTACCATGTTGGATCCATTGTCAGTCACAAAGACCTACTTCCAGCTAGGTGCCTTGAACTCAAATAGCTTTTCACACAGACTTCAGGATGTGAGCTCAGGTATGGCCTTTTTTCATGAGCTGGGCCTACATATGGGTTGACAATAACCTGCAACTTTTGTAGAAAAGACACTACTGGCTGTAGCTTAATGTCAGAAAATGACTAGTTGCAATCATTGATAGGTAGGTAGTGTGTACTCTTCCTATATTTGAAGTATTCTCACCTTTTAGAGATGATCCCCTTTTTTCTGTTTCTCAAAGAGACTGTCCAAGTAAAAATTTCTCATTAGAACCTGGTGTGAAGGCCTAATAGATATCTGCTTAATGATTCAACCGTTGTCTTCCAATATGAGATAGGTATGATCATTCCTTTCCTGTATTTGGTGTAAGAAAGAATTTTTTAAACTTCTGTGGATTCTTGCACTATTTTTCCCTTTTCCTTGTCTTAATTGTGGCCCCCCAAACATAAAATTTACCATCCTAACCATTTGAACTATTTTAATAAATCTCCTACTAATCTTATAAAAAACTGGAATTAGAAAATAGGTTTTCATGAATAGGGCTTAAAATTTAGAATCTGTAATTTTCTAAGGGTACTTGTACCTTGAGGTGGAGGATACAGTAAAGCCCTAAGTTAAATTAATGTAGTTCATGCTCCATGCCAAAGGTTCTTATTTCTTCAAGGAGAAAATACCCTTTCTGGAAAAATGAGCCTCACTTTCATATCTTCCTTCTCTGCAAGATACATTTCTTTAAGTAAAATCTTCATTGAGAGTATAGTGGATCAACTGATGGTGACAGACTTAGGAAACCATCTATATTTTATTATAGCTATTACCATAACTGTTTTCTCAAAGACTTACTGTTGTTCTCTTATTATAATTCAGTGGCCCTATTAATCAATGATTTTTTTTAAGCCCTAGTAATAGAGAATCATTACAATGGGGGAGGGAGTGTCCTTGGAAATTCAAAGTGAGTACTAAGAGCAGCTTTTGTACTTTCTGTAATTCTCAGTGTTTGACAGAGATTGTTAATAGGTATTGATAAATGCCAAAGTTCAGAATCTGTTTATACTCCTCTGCCAGAATCATATCTTTATTAAGAAATGGCCAGACTCATTATTCAACTATAGTTTCAGTTTTGTTTCATAGCCATAAAAGACATAGTATCTTAGCTGTCTCAAGTCAGGAAAAGTATCTCATTTTTCTGTCTTAAAACATGCCACTTTAGTATTTCAGATTGCATGTGAAAACCCCACACTGTACCCCAGAAGTGCATTAATGTACATAGTTACCATTCAATAAAAAAAAAAAAAGCCACTTTATTCACTTACATACAGATGCAAACACATGTATTCAAATACACAGATGCAGAACTCGACTGACATGAGGTACAGTATAACACCTGTTCCCCTGAGTGTGCTCTCTGCCACTTCTTAGAGAGAACATAGGAGAATGACAGTGCTCTCTGACATGCTGTGCCTCTTCAGTTAAGACATCTTGCCAGATGAGTTAGTACACCTTGTTATACTTAATGTCTGTGCATGTTAGGTTTTCTTTTTCACACTATGGGAACCAAGTTTAAAACATGGCGCAGTACTGTGCTCATTTACCCTGGCAACCCTCCTGAGTGGCTTCTTTACTGTTGATTATCTACTTAACAGTTAGGCGTTAAATTACTTCTGAGGAAACGTTTGTTTTTTTTATAAGGAAAGATTCACTTGTATGTAGATGACATTATTTGCTAAGGATTCTCCTACCTTCTGTTATTCTTCTTATAATTCTGTGCCCACTTTGTCAAATATTATTTTACTATAATGGCCAAGTTCTTTTCTTGGTAGGTATACAACTAAAAAGATATGTGACGCATAGTTTAGATCATACCTTAGCATAAACATTTTGAGCACTTTTATTTACATGTAATTTCAATTTGTTTTAAATTAACTATTGAAGGAATTAATGATACACAGATTTTTTAAAAATCTAAGCATTAGTGTAAAGATGTTTCTAATGTGAATCATGTGCTGAGAGTTGGAATAGAATAAAGGGAAATAATGTTTAGTTGTAATTTTTTAGTGGCTCTTCTATTAAGCTATTACTACAGTTATCGTGAAAATTTGCAGAAATCTTTTAATGCCCTATACACTGAAGCCTTGATGTAATACTTCCTTTTATGATAACAGTTTGATATGAGGTTGGGAATGTTTTAAATTCTGATAAGGAACAACAGAATAGTATATTTAAAATGATTATGCCCTAAAACTTAGTGTTGATGAATTGAAAGTTTCAGTGCGTAGGCTAGGCATGGTGGCTCACGCCTGTAATCCTGGCACTTTAGCACTTTGGGAGTCCGAGGCAGGTGTGCTGCTTAACGAGGAGTTCCAGACCAGCCTGACCAGGAGTGAGACCCTGTCTCTACCAGAAGTAGAACATTTAGCCAGGCATTGTGGTAGGCATCGGTAGACCCAGTTACTGAGGAGGCTGACAGGAGGATTTCTTGAGCCCAACAGTTTGAGGTTGCTGTGAGCTATTAATGTCACAGTACTCTACCCAGGGTGACAGAGTGAGATTCTGTCTCAAAAAAAAAAAAAGTTTCAATGTATAGATGCACATTATATTAAGATGCCCACTAGTAAATCCACATTTTATTTTGGATTCTTATACTTATTCATAAAAAATATAAATTCTTAGAAATTTATTAGCTCTGAATTTAATGCAAATAGTATTATATTAACATTACATATGGTTCTTTGTTTCCCAGGTCTTAGGAGAGAGAGTATAGACATCTGTTCCTTTTAGGAGAGACATGATTTTTCTCTCTAGGTATTTATAATTGTGTTTTTAAAAGTGGATCTAAGGACATAATAGATATCTAGTCTTTTACAGTATGACACATATATAATGTGTATCTCTTGTCTGTTTTTATATTAGAAAGGAAAGCCTTCCCATAACTTTATTTATTATCTTAGGTATTAGCCTGTGGCTTCAGAAGCAACTTAAACTACCTCTTATGTATATCATGTATATGACAAATGAAATGCACACTCTTATTTTTATTTTTAAGCAGTTATTGACTTATGGAGGTGTTTATTTCTCATTCCTAAAGTCTTAATTTTTCTTGCATTTCTTTCCATATTAATTAATAATTCAGATCTAAAAGGGAAAATGTTAAAACAGGAGTAAAACCAGATTCATCTGATCAAGAACCAGAAGGACTTACTCTTTTGGTACCAGACATCCAAAAGACTGCTGAGATAGTCCATGCAGCCACCACCAGTTTGCGCCAAGCAAATCAAGGTATTGGATGATTCCTCTGTTGCTACCTTTCATTTGCTGGGAAGATTTTTCTTTCATCTACTGAAAAGTGCTTTTCTGTTCTTGCATTATGTGAATGGTTTTCAAGCAATTTTGTTGGCCTGAAATCATGTTGTCAGGTTTTGTTCTTTGTCAGGTTTCAATTATGAATAGTAATTAATTTTAAAATATTTATTTTGACTGTGTATGATTTCTAAGACTAAATTTCATAGACTGAAACATCTATCATCATAAATTTTTTTTTCCTTCCCACTAGGAAAGTCATGGAATTTAAGAAAGCCTTTGTGGTAGAGAAAAAATAGTATGTTAAGAATATTTTAGTTTAAATCAGTAGTTCTCAACCTTCCTACTGCTGTAATATATTTTCATTGTTAAAAAGGGGTCACGACCCACAGGTTGAGAACCGCTGGTTTAAATTAATATTATCATGTATCAGCAAGAGAAACTAGCGGTCTGCATTATCTGTTGTTTTACTTCTACTATTTTTAAAGCTGATCTTTTGCTCTATTATATTTATGAAATAGAAAATGTTCTCAAAATAGTGTAATAAAATAATTGTGAAGGACTTGGCAGTTTTTTGGAATTCAGAATTTCAACTCTAGAAATGAAATGTTTTTAATTTAAAAAATTTTAAAATGTATACTTATGTTATTTATCTGTTAAATAACAGAGAAAAAACTAGGTGAATACTCAAAGAAGACAGCTTTGAAACCCAAACCTTTGTCAGTATTAAAATCACTTGAAGAAAAATACGTGGCTGTTATGAAGAAATTACAGTTTGGTAAGATGAAATTTTTCATTTGTAAAGATCTCACTTTCCAGTTTTTAACAGTGCTATTGAAATGTGTTCTAGGAAATTAAACATTTTGAGAATTGCTTATAACATGAATTATATTTCGTGTGTATGCTCATGAAAATTTTTTATCATCTTTATCTCTTTAATTTATATTTACATTAGGAAATTGAGGCTTCAGTAGAAGGACTGTAGAAACCTAGAAAAAATAGAAACTAAATAGACAGCCAAGACCTGGGATTTTGAGCCAGTAAATCTCTTACTCTTACCACTTTAGAGTCTGATGAGATTCACCTTTAGAAAATACAGTTAGTTACACACTGGTCTTTCCCATTCCAAGACTCTAGACAAGCCAGGACTGATGAAAAGATGTTATCAGTACCACTTATAGGGTGCTGATATATAAGTGAGTTCCAAATTTTGATGACTGTTATTAACTGTTTTTGTCTATCTTTACTTCTTTTCCATCCCTAAAAACCAGCCCAAAGGACTTAGAAAAACTACTGAAGTGAGTTTTTGTGTGTGATATATTTTATTTTTTTTTTAAAGCAAGGTCTTGGTTTGTTGGGCAGGCTAGAGTACAGCATCAAGATCATAGCTCACTGCAACCTTGAGCTCCTGGGTTCAGGCCATCATCTCTCCTCAGCCTGTCCTTTATAGCTAGGATTATAGGCTCATACCATCATGCCCAGCTAATTTTTAAATTTTTTTGTAGCTATAGGCCCAGGCTGGTCTTAAACGCCTGGACTCAAGCAATCCTCCCAACTTGGCCTCCCGAATTGCTGGGATTATTGTACTGTCTTTGAAACCTCTGTAGATAGCATTTAGCTTTTGGTCTACTTACCTCTTCTAAGAAATCATATTTATTTACACCTTTGCCTGCAGTTTAGTTAGTGTTTGACAACATTAATTAATAAAATTAATAAGCTCTGTTTTGCAAGTATTAAAACCAGAGACTTTATTTGGTTTATATGAATTTGATTAAGCATTACCAAGGTTACTTGTAGCTTTTGGGGGACACTTTAATTTCTATGATATTTTATCAAATAGCTCTTTATTATTTATTGTCATATAAGTTACCCCCAAATGTAAGACACTAAAAACAACTAACCTTTATTGTCTCACTGTTTCCAGAGTTACACATTCAGGAATGATTGAGCTCACTTAGGCAGGGTTTCTCAACCTGTGGGTCACGACCCCCAAAGGCAGGGGTCGACCCTTTCACAGGGGTCACCTGAGACCATCCTGCATATCAGATATTTACATTACAATTCATAACAGTAGCAAAATTACAGTTATGAAGTAGCAATGAAAATAATTTTATGGTTGGGGGTCACCTCAGCATGAGGAACTCGATTAAAGGGTCGCAGCATTAGGAAGGTTGAGAACCACTGGCTTAGGGTCTCTGACAAAGCCGTAGCGTGATGTTGGCTGGAGCGCTAGTCGCATGAAAGCTTTGCTGGGCCGGCTTACTCGTGCAGCCAAGGACAGGATACCTTAGCTCCCTGCTGGGTAGGCTCCCTTGTAAGCCTCCTTAAGTGTCTGAACACGTCACAGCTGGCTCTCGAGAGAGTAAATAAAAGAGGTGATGATGCCTTCTATGACCTTGTCTTAGAAAATGTAGCCAGGGGTCCTCAAACTTTTTAAACAGGGGGCCAGTTCACTGTCCCTCAGACAGTTGGAGAGCTGGACTGCGGACCCTGGGACAAGGCAGCTGCTAAGCAGGACAGGCAGCGGTGGCAAAAACACCCAGCAGGCCGGATAAATGTCCTAGGTGGGCTACATGTGGCCCTCAGGCCGTAGTTTGAGGACGCCGGACATACACTGTCACTAAATCTGACACGTACTCAAGGAAAGGAGAATTAAATTTTAACTCCTTCCTTCATTCCCTCCTTTCCTTCCTTCCTTTCTTTCCTTTCTTTCTCCCCATTGGTCGAGTGCCATGCCGTGGCATCACAGCTCACAGCAGCCTCAAACTCCTGGGCTCAAACAGTTCTCTTGCCTCAGCCTCCCAAGTAGCTGGGACTGCAGGTCCCCACCACAATGCCTGGCTATTTTTTTGTTACAGTTGTCATTGTTGTTTAGCGGGCCCAGGCCGGCTTCGAACCTGCCACCCTTGGTGCATGTGGCTGATGCCGCAACCACTGTGCTACAGGCAACAAGCCTTAATTTTTAACCTTTTTTTTTTTTTTGAGACAGAGCCTCAAGCTATCCTCTTGGGTAGAGTGCCTTGGCATCACAGCTCACAGCAACCTCCAACTCCTGGGCTCAAGCGAGTCTCCTGCTTCAGCCTCCCAAGCAGCTGGGACCAGAGGCACCCACCACAACACCCGACCACTCTTTGGTTGCAACCATCACTGTTGTTTTGGTGGCCCAGGCTGGATTTGAACCCACCACCCTAGGTGCATGTGGCTGGGCCCCAGCCACTTGAGCCACAGTCGCCGAGCCAATATTTACCTTTTTAAAAGAGAGTCAGACCATGCATGGTGGCTCATACTTGTAATCCCAGCATTCTGGGAGGCTAAGGCAGAAGGATTGAGGCTAAGAGTTCAAAACCAGGCTGGGCAACCTAGTGAAATACCACCTCAACAAAAAATATATATATTTTTTAAAATTAGCCAAACATGGCATCACATACCTATAGTCCAGGAGGCTGAGGCACAGGATCATTTGAGACTAAAAGTTCAAGGCTATCGTGAGCTTTGCTTGTGTTCCTGCACTTCAGCCTGGGCAGTAGAGTGAGACCCTGTCTCTGTATAGATAGAGATGAGAGAGAGAGAGAGAAACTTACTGAAATGTATTTGCATACATGTTATTTATATTAGAAGTAAATATTTTATTGGACTTAATGTTTTGTTCCATTTACTAGGTCATAAGAAATGTCCGTTAATGTCTTTAAAAACCTGCAGCATTCTCCTAGTTGAAGATGTTTGACCACATTCCATCTCTACAAAATTTTTAACTCATTTTTTCAATCTGGGCACTTGAATTTCATTCAGTCTGAGTGTGTTTATGCATCTCTGCATATGAGAGATTCTGACTTAAAGTTATTACTCCTAAAGGTTCAGAGTTGTTTGTCCAAAGGCCTTCATTAGTAATAGCCAGCAGGAGGATTGTCTCCTATCACACAAAATCATAAACTCTTCAAGCTGGATTTGACTTTAAATGTAATTAAGTTTTGCCATATGTTGACTTTCAGAATAATGTAGAAAAATATGAATTTTTTTTATAATCTGCATTTTCTACCTTACATTTTTTAGTATCACGGTGTTCTCTAACTTGATACTTATTAACTGATACTTACTAAAATTGTGTAATATGTACTGTTATGTGTTTAACCAGTAACTGTATCCTTATGTTGTTAGTAACATATGTAACATTTCAGGGGCCTTCACTGCATGTAAATGTGTACATCCAGGTTCATTCCTTAGGACAAATTAATAGAAGAGGAATTGTCGACCCAAACAGGATTTACATTTTTAGCAATTAATCATTATCTCTGAATCATTTAATAAAAATTTGATGCCAGTAGACCCTGATCTCTGTGGACATATGATATAAAAAATTTTCCTCTGGGTATGGTAAAGGACCCATTTTTGTCTGGTAGATTGCTGTTCATAAAATGCTTTATTTTTTGAGATAGATCTTTGTTGCTAAGATTAGAGTACAGTGGCCTCATCATAGCTCACTGCAATCTCAAACTCTGGGCTCAAGTAGTCGTTTTGGCTCACCCTTTCAAGTAGCTGGGACTACAAGTGTGCACCACCATGCCCAGCTCATTTTTTAAAAATTATTTTGTAAAGACAAGATCTTAACTATGTCTTCAGGCTGGTCTTGAACTTCCTTGCCTCAGGTGAGCCACCACGCCCTGTCTGCTATTTATTAAATTCAGAGGAAATTTATTGAGTAGTATGTGAAAGACAGCAGTGTTGGACAGACGAAATAACCCCAGTTTATGAGTTTACTGAAAGGATCTCTTCAGTAGTCATGCGGAGACATAGTGCACTTGGTCAATAACAGTTACATATGCTGTTATGAATATAACTGTTATATAATGTGATAAAATAAGCATTCAACATTGCTTTATAAATTAGCATCTACATATGTATAATTGATTATAGATTCTACACAAAATGAACCAAAATTTTTTCTGAAAGCTTTACTAAGGATTATTATCATTGAATTTAAACACTGTAGTATGTAGACCTGTGATACCATTTATAGGTCTTTTCCTTTTTGTAGATTATAAACTTCTTCAAGGCAGATATAGTTTCATCTATATGATTTGACCCCAAGAGCCTACCTAGCTCAGGATCTTGCACTTGGTAAAATTTACTGAAGTAGTGCTAATTAGCATATAGATTAATATTTTCCCCATATATTTAGAGTGGTATGAAGCACAAGATCAAAATTTGTCATAGCCTGTAATGACAGTATTTGCCCTAACTGGTGGTTTTAATTTAGTGTTAATAGTTTATGTAAATATCTTTGTTTTATACATTTGTGAGGGGTGGA